AGGTATATTCCTCTCCCATTTTTTTTGGTTCAGATCTGGTTTAGTTTATGGTTCAAGATTGATCCTTGAAAATATGATTTTCTAAATAGGGAATACGATTCCCAGTTGAAGGGAGAGAAAAATTTTTTGAAATTCGCCCCTTATTCCGTAATCTTTGGGCGTCCATAGGATGGATTTCTCATCCCTTCAGAAGGATCACTGCAATATCCAAGCTAAGGTTTCATGTAGACTGTCTCCTTCAATTCACCGTGAAGAAAAACATTCTTCACATCTAATTGGTAAATAGTCCAAGAATGAACAGCAGATATGGCCATAAGAGTCCGAATTGTGGTGATCTTAGCAACCGGGGCAAATGTTTCTTCATAATCAATCCCATATTCCTGACTATATCCTTGAGCAACTAACCGAGCCTTATATTGATCAAGGGAACCATCTAACTTTAGTTTGATCGTATAGCTTCCAACAATAGAAGCATCTAGAAGAGCTRGCACAAGATCCCAAGTATCATTCTCATGGAGGGCTTGAATTCCGGCATCCATGGCTTCTTTCCACTGATAACTTCTAATGGCTTGCTGATAAGATTTAGGAATATCTATGGAAGAAAGTGCAACAGAAAAGGAATTATGGTTTGAAGGAAAACCAATAGCGGTCAAAGGATCGAGAAATACTATCTAAAATAGRAGGATCTTCGGTCAATGTATCACTTACAGGGGATATCGGAGATGGATGCTTTGGACCGGGTGGAAGGGGGGTTGTAGGCACAAGGACAGAGACACGCAGCCGCTTGTGGGTGAAGACAAGAAAATCTCTCRGTCAAGGAAATAGTAATGCCATATGAATCGAAGTCCTACAAAACAAAGATGGAAGGAATAGACAATCTAGAAACCCCAACAAAGGAGATATGTTCAAGAAACACAACATTCCGGGAAATCCGAATACGACGAATAGCAGGATTATAGCACAAAAATCCTTTGTGGTCAGGACTATATCCCACAAAAGCACACATAGCAGATTGAGCAGTTAATTTAGATCGTTCACGAACAAGAAGATGTACAAAACAAAGACAACCAAAAACATGAAAACTAGAAAAACCTGGGGGATGACCAAAAAGTTTTTAGAAGGGAGAAGTGTTGCCTAGAACAGAGGAGGGAAGAAAATTGATCAACTACACGGTTGTATTGGCTGCTTCTACTCAAAACGAAGTTAGAATATGAGATTCCTATAATGTCCACACAACACTGAGAATATGTCCATTCTTCCGTTCAGCCACATCATTCTGTTATAGTGTCTAGGCAACTGCACTAAGATTAAATTCCATAACTCCTCAAGTAGGCCTAAAAGCCTCCGTCTCTATATTCTCCCCCTGAATCTGAGTGAAGGATAGTCACATTGCACCTGAATCGATTTTGCACCTGAATCGATTTTGCACCATAGTATGAAATAATTTAAATGTGCCAAAGACTTCCGATTTGTGCCACAAAAAATAAATCCAAGTATATCTGGTATAATCATCTATAAACAATAAAAAATATATGTATCCCAATCGTGAAGTAATAGAAGTAGACCAAACATCACTATGTATTATCTCAAAAGGTTTAGTGGCATGTTTAGATGTATGATGAAATGTTAAAACATGACTTTTACTCAAACAGCACACAGTGCAAGAAACATCAAAAGTATAAACAGGAGGAATTTTATTCTTAATCAAACAAGATAAACAAAAACTTTAATTTTTTGGAATATGGATGGCCCAACCGTTTATGCCATAAATCCCAAATATTATTTCTATAACTCAACAAAGAATTAGACAAAGAAGAACYAAGTAAAGCTGAGGATGCTCCTGATTGAGATTTCTCAAACTCCAGCGCAAACAGACAGCCCAGCCTACGCCCCTTCCCTTTCACCTTCCCAGTGTATCAGTCCTGTATCAAGCAACCATCATGAGAAAATGTGAGAACATTTCCTTCATCAATAAGTTGGCCAACAGAAATCAGATCAGTAATAAAGTTGRGTATTAAGAGGATTTTGGAGAGAAGGAAGGATCTAGTTGGTGACAGTTTAAGCGACAAATCATTGCTACCAATGATGTCTAACTTTTCACCATTGGCAGTAATAATATGTTTATGGTGAGTTTCAGTGGACGGATTTGGGTGACTGAGGTAGGCTCCTATCATATGATTGGTGGCACCTGAATCTATAATCCAAGCATGTGAAGGGGAAGAACAATATGCAAAGAACTTACCAGACAAGCCAATAGCAGAGAAAGCATAGGAAATAGCAGAAGATACCAATTGCCGAACCTTTTCTTCATCCATGACACCTGTTGAATCGCCTTTCACTGAATAATCACCCTTGGTGGATACAGTGTTTGTTGCTTGTCCATCTATTGCCTGATAAGCCCGGGGCTGAGTCTTTTTCTGAGAACCCTTAGTTAGTCAGATTGGGCAGTCTGGAATGATGTGATCATGTTGCTTGCAATAGATGCACACATTCTTCTTCTCACAATGAGATACAATGTGTCCAAAACCCTTACACTCATAGCATTAAGTTTTGGAGAAGTCCTTGGAAGTTGGTTTCTTACCCCCATGAGCAACAAAGGTTGTTTCAGCCCCAACTTCAGCCATCTTCCCATCAAACCCGACAGTAGTGAGAAGTCTAGTCTCTTCCCTCAGAAGCTCCCCTAAAACAGAATCCATATCTGGAAGTGTTCCCCTACTCAAAATGTTGAACCTGATTATCTCATATTCAGGTCTAAGTCTCATCAAGAACTTAGTCACCTTTCTTTTCTCAAAGTGCTTCTGAAGATATTTCACACACTCTGCTGGATCCGAGGGTTCAATGTGAACAATCCCATATTCAGCCCATAAATCAAGAAAAACCAAAATAATATTCATGTATCCTCATATCTCCTTGGTTGTAGGAAAATATTTTTTATTCTATCTAATACTGTTTAGATACATTGGACTGTTGATAAACTTTTTCCAGATACAAGTACATCTCATAGGTTGTTTTCATTCTCCTCATAGGTACAGATATATGATAATCAATAGAACTTAGAATCCAATAAACAAGTTTACCATTATCCAACTTCCATTGTTGTAAAGCCTTGGCCTCGATCTCAATTGGTTTAGTGATTGTTCCATTCAGATATCCTTCTAAGCCTTTTCCTTCAACATAAATGTCAAAATGAAACTTCCACGTCCCATAGTTCTGTCCATTCATCTTCACAAGAATGATATCACCTCTGTCTGAAGCCATTACAGCAGGAAAATAGCACAAAATAGGGTTCGGCTGAAGTTTAAAGGAACTAGACTGAAGTAAAACTTGATCAAAACGAGTGAAATAAGTTGTAATCGAATCCAAGAGAGTCAAAAAAATGAGAAAGGAACCCCTTACTTTCACCGGAGATTGTTAAAGATCCAGTAGAAGAAGAAAACTAAAAACACAATCCAGAAAAGGATAGTTTAGGCGCAGCCGCCTAGAAGAGAAGTCCAAATCTCTCTCAAAACTTCACGGATCTTAGTGAAACTTTCAGAGTATGTTGAGAAGGGCTAAGCGACAACTCCTTTTAAATCTTGCTGCAAACAGATGTCAAACGAGAGAGATCCAATGAAACCTCTCTTTCTGGATGCACAGAAAACAAAAAAAATGGTTCCTAGAAAGATCAAAATAGTCCAGGACCAATCGGCAGAGATGCAAGTTCTCAATTGATCAAGAAAACAAGGTGGATCAAAGAGAAAGAAGATCAAAAGGCAACCTGCTCTGATACCATGTGAACCGAATTGAGAGCAAGAAGAAAATAGAATTAAGGGTGTCAAGAACAGTCGACCCCCACCCCAAAGAGTCTCTTTTATATTAAAGAGATAAAAGATATGTACAGTTACAAGAATGACCTTACAGGGCTGAAAGATAAAAAGAACATATAAAATAATAAGAATACGATGTTGTACAACAAGGACTACTCTAATAGTGTACATCAAGGTATATCTTCACAGTTTTGTGCTGGTATGTAATTACCAAAAATAAGGAGCATATCAAATAGTCAAGGTCACACTCCTTAATTGAAAAACAAAGGTTGCAACTCTCTAACATCCAGCTTGCTTTTTTATGTTTGCAAGACACTGCAAACAAATGCTCCATAGATAGTCATTGCATCAACCAGAAAGGCCCCAAAAATACTGGCCATCACCTTACTGTATTGATAACACTAAGCACAATTGACATCCATGTGCATTTCCTTTATCAATCTCAAGATTCTCAAGTCGCAACAAATTATTGATAAATGATAACAAATAGTGTATGAAGCATGAACTTCAAAAGAATTCAAATTGGTAGACAATACTATCATATTTTGAGGATAGAGAAACCTAGACCACCAACCTCAAGATATCATCAAATTAGCCCATAAATTATCAAAGCCTACAGTTGGGAGCAATAATAAATCATATGAATGTTGGAACCCATGTAGAGAAATATGATAAGAAATTACTGTCTAGGAAAAATTAAATACCAAGTTACCAACAGGAGAGAGGTATTCTTTCACCAGCGTCCAATGGTTTAGTACAAACTTAAAGGAGGTGAACAAAATGGATCTCATGGATCAAAGTGCTTTCCTACCTATTATTCCAATTCATATTCATGTCGGAAGGTGATGCCCTTCAGAGTCTCAGAAGGGGACCATTTAATCAAGTATTGGGCACCCTCCACAATTTCTATGAGTACCCTAGTTCCACTTAGATAAGACGAAGTCATAAAGATGAATCTAGCTGGGTCCACCTGTGGGGAATATATAGAAAAAGCAATTGAAAAATGACAGTCATAGGATAAATGTACCATAACAGGGCATCCTGCTCTTGGAATACTATCTGAACGCAAACCACCAAAGGGATTCAAACCAGCATGCTCAACAAGAACACACGCATCAATACCAATAGCTTCATAAAAATCCCCAACCTGAAAGAAGAAAGAACTGTATCCATTCAAGATCAAATTCATATCAATATTAACAAGATAGAAAAAAGAACGAAAAGATCAGAAGAATTATTAGCAAGTCATTTACAGGACGGGGTGCCATGGTGTATGGTGTTTTCTGATATTATAGTATAGATTCATGCAACTAAAGATAAATGCAAGGCTACAATAATAGAGTGATGCTTTATTGCTTTTAAAGCCAAAAATGTTTCAAGATATATTGGACTGATACAGATTACATGTATTGCAATTATAGCAAAAAATAGTACTGACAATGATGGTGCACCATTAAAATTGATGATCAGAAGATATCCCAAATAAACTATTTCCAGTATCTTGGCTAAATTGAATAAGATGCTGATGATGAAATTAGAACAGGACAGCTGAAGTGGAGAGAATCCAGTCTGCTGTATGACTAGCATATGATCAAAAGTTTTTTATAGATATTAAGATGATCAAAAGTTAATTGAAAGGAGTGACTTGGTACAAGTAGAAGGCTCTAAAAGGGCAAGGAGAGACCAAAGAAAATGTGCAAACAAATAATCCAAGGGGTTATAGTTTAACAGAAAACAGAGCTCTTGATACAGCACAGCGGTGGGACCACACCCCAGATAGTAGGGAATAAGGCTGAGATAAATAGAGTAGGAATCACGACACCATTCTCCAAAGACCATAGACAAACATACAACAATAGATAGCAACATCAATCTTCACGGCTCATCCACCCATTAAGAGGAAAATGTGAAAGAATGGAAAGAAATGGAAGCAAAAGAGTAACATACTCTACATAGTAAAACTTCACGTGGAAACCTCATCTTAAATTGCAGCATCTCCCAGTTGAGTGTACCCTCTTTCAAACTACATTAACACAATTATAGATCAACAATCTATATAAAACATAAACCTTAAAGTTGTGCATGTGAAGAAAAAATACAGTGCACAGATGCAGTTAGAGATTCTTTAAAATAAGCACCTAAAGCAATAGCCATTTTAATGTTTTAGAAAAAGATATCTCATAAAGGTAGTCTTGTGCATCCCCATCAAAGCCTGTATTTAAATTCAAATACAATAAGCAGTACATTTTCTGAAAYTTCACAGCATTCTTCTTTTTCATCGAGAAAGATAATGCAATTTATTAGAATTCAGGAAATGATTACAATTCTGAAAACACCAAAAGATTAAGCCCTTATACAGTGAGGGACTGTACATCAGTGCAAACTAACTAAACAGCAAAAAGAACCACTGCAAATCAAAACAGTTTATCCATACACAGTATACAATGAAAAGGCACTCCTATAAACTCCTTTGTCACGGACATCCAAGCAAAGATCTTTCTCACAACACCTCTCAACATCTCATCTTTCTGATTTTTCTTGTTGTGGAAAATACTCTTGTTTCTTTCCAACCATCTTTGTTGACAATAAATAAAAAACAGAAAATAATATTAAGAAAAGAAATAAGGATACATGAGCGGTGATAAAATATCACCCACAAGCAAGAAAAAAGAAACTCAGAACCCACCTCTCTATTCTAAACAATCTTTCCAAAGCCCAACAAAGAATAAAACCCCAGACAAAACACACAAAAACCTCAAATCACCACATACTTAATCCAGCCCTCTTCTTACACTTGATAACCTACCCAACCAATAAAAAAACCAAACAGACCTCCTGCCATTCGTGGTTCACGACTTCATGCCCATTTAATCATCTCGTCTGGAAATTTGAATGTAAACCTCTCTGTTCCTTTTGTTGATTTTCCTCATTTTTTCACTTTCTTACATAGCCCAACCACACATAAACCCATCTTCAATCTTGTAAAAACTTTCAGTACTGGTACAATACAGTGATTTCTTTGATTTCTGAACCTTCTTACTACATTAGGAACCTTCTCAATATCCTTTGAGCCCRAAAGTTAGCATTTATCCTTTCAAGTTCCAAGACCACATTCTTCTCAAAGATCCGGTTTGCTAGTTGCTACCAACTATCCATTCTCTTCAGGCCCATCCCCATCTGCTCTCAATCTGGTTTGGATATCTGTACTTCTTTCGTTGCAGCAAGACTGCTCATGAACCAAATGGTTTTCCTTGCCCTTCAGAAGTCTGCTAATTTTTTCTTCCAAATCCCCAAATTTCTTCCTTGCAAGTTCCTCCCTCCTATAAAGAACAGGCCCAAAATTTGATTACCTCCACCTTAGCATTCACTACTGTTTCCAAATTAACTCCCCCCTCTTCTTGAGTCCATTACCCACCAACCAGCTACTATCTCCTTCACAGATCTTGGGAAAGTCCATTTCAGCTCCATGGATTTGAGAGGAAGTCAGTCCAAACATTGAAGCTGACTCGATAATGGACAAAAAAAATGATTTTCTGTTTCCAGCCACCTTCCAAGCACATTTGTCAACTCACCACTAATCGTTGGCATATAGGCAAATTAGAGGTCAAATAATCTTTTTAACGAAAGGTTTGAGTCCCCGAGAATTTATTAATTCTTGAGAAGCCAAATTGTGCTGCAAAAGCCTCATTCAACTAGAAGTTGCCAACTGACCTCAATATTCTCAGCATACAATATACAATAACCCCTAAGCCCACTTAACCAAGGTTCAAAGTATTGACACGATACACCCCATATCAGAGTATCATATCGTATTGGCAGGGTGCCAATACATATTTTTTAARGCTAATCCCCAAACCCATTATTTTATCTGTTAATCTATATTAAACCTACCCTTCAGACCTATTCTTGAAAAAAGTTACAAATAAAATAAAGATGTGTGGTACAAAGTACCGATACACCACCATATCGGGATGTATCGATACTTTGAACCTAGCACATAACATTGTTGGGGGCCACAAGGTTAATGACTTCAAATACAGATATTTCTATAGATTTCTGCCATAAGGACAGTAGGCATGCTTTAGATTTTCTAACTAGTGTAAAAGACTTCACTTTACTATTAGAAACAGAGTTCAGAGACTAGAACACCATGCAGCATCTCCTTGTATCTCCTATGAACAACTCTCCTTTTTTCTCAAGTAGAACACAAAGGAATTCATAGATAAGTAAATTAGAAAAAAAAAATCTATTTCCAATTGGGATTTGGGACAGAAGTATCTCACCTCCCATTTTTCAGGCTGTCATCTACACCTAGCAAATTTGAATAGGTAAGCCGTTTAACCAGTTGGATGGAAGAAGGCTTTCTGAAAAACTGTAATCTCTGCATAAAAGTTCATGGTACAAGAGAAATTGGGAAGGATTGCAAGAAATTCTGTAAACACAAATGTGGGATAAAAATGAGAAAATGTGACCAAGTGGTGTCAATAGAATCAGAACACATGTACCTCTTTCCACCACATTATATGAGAATGATCTTTTTCTTCTAGAATAGGTTTTGCTTCCTTCAGTTTTTTAGTTGCTTTCACATTTCCCCTCGAAAGCCTCTCCGTCTTGAAACAATGGATCCAATCACCTTGTCCTCTGCTAAGTGAAGAAAGAAAACTATTCCATATCAAATACTAATTACATGATCACACAAAGAAATATATGAAAGAAAATTAAAGATTGCCAGAACAGATAACACTTTGAGAAAATTGTAAAAAGAAACAGGAAAGCATCAAGATTAATTAACTGCTAACATTCCAGTACTAAGAGAACTTATTCTCTGAGACAGTAAAGTATCGTGCACTAATTACAAGTACCAATATATACAAATGCCATCCATGTACAACTAGGAGTTATACAGTGCCCAACTATCAATTATTCATCCATCAATTTTTCATGTAAGGAAACAAAAGAGATTAAGTGTTAAATGCATTTTATTCTTGAGCAACAACAAAATTAACATTACTAAGAAGCAAAATAGAAAGCATAGGAACAGCCAAAGGGAACAAGCATAAAACAAYAAAGAAGGGCATATTCTGTAAATTTGGCCATGTTAGATACCATGCTGCATCCATGTTCTGGACAACTTTCAGCACCCATAAACAAAGCTCGCCCACTCGATCATGTCTCATCCACTTCAGACACCAACTCATTTAGTTAAAAAATAACACCTCTAACCTGTGGAGAATGGTGAAATTGCACATGGAAAGAAATTCAATTACTGATCAACCATAGGGACACTCACTGTTGGCCAAATTGCAACCAACAAACGAAATGTCTACTCTCAATTTATAATATGTTGCATTGGAGCAAGTTGGTCAGTTTGGATGAAATTGGCCAACCAATTTGTGCATAGATTCATGTAATACACATCATGAAAAACAATAAAACCGCAAAGAGGGGATATAGGAGTCTGAACAATTTTTTCTTTAATACATTTAAAAATCACATTATTAAAATGAATTAAAGTTCCATCAAATAGAGATGGACCTGCAAGAGCATTCTTGTAACCAATGCACTAATAAATTGAAGTACTCCGGATCAACACTTGTGAATCCAAGCTGAGGCTCATAATATGTTTAGTCAATCATTCACATTGGCACCCATTAGTATACAACCCTTAGCATGAAAAAACTGTGATGGAATCAGCACGTCTTTCTTGTACAACAACAAATATATCTCCCACTACCCTCAAATAACAACTACCGAATAGCCTCTCCCAGAAAGTTTAGCTAAGCTGTACTTTTCTTCTCTGTCATATACAATAAACATAAGGACAACAGTTCAACGAGTTATGAAAACCCATGCAATAAGACCAGATAGTGCTTTATGACATCCAAGGTCCGAAGTTGTAATGTCACCAGACATCAAGTCTGTTTGAAACGAACAAGCACAGAAATGCGTGGAAGCTAGTCTTAGTAATGGATAAAAAAGAATGTGAACGGAAGCGAGGGAACAGGATGATTACAGTGAAAGCGATGATGAATCAAATGGTCTAAACCTATGAGCGGGGGAACCAAGCAAGAGAGCAAGAGAACGCCAGCGCGGCAAGGAGACCATGACGGTTTTTGTAGTTAACCAAAGCATGGCGTCGCTCCCCTTCACGTTCTCTGCTCTTCTTTTTCTCGTTTCTTGGTGCTTCTCCTTTTCTGTGTCGGTGAAAAAACTGAATTAGGGCATTAAATAGGGTTTTGAGTTCCAGGAGCTTTCTTTGTTCTGCTTGCTCCTTCCCGCCAGAAGAAAGATAGAAGCAGAAAAGCCAGAGAGGGATTTGGGGAAGCGTGAAGGTGAGAGGACTAGTGTGAAAAATCTTTTTAAACTCATACTCCGCCAATCGGATCACATAGCACCCAGCCGATATCAGATTGGCGCCCATAATCACATCTAATCGTGCATTGAGAATATCTCCCGTACATCAATGTTAAATTCGTGGAGATGCTCCTAGTGAACGGTTAGATTTCCTTGATAGAAGTTGTGTGCAGAGTAGTGAATCCCGTCGCGGAGCGAATGTGTCATCATTTGCAATTTTGCACGATATAATATCTTGTTCGAACGGTTATTCTTACCAGAAAACTGTATGTTTCAAACAGGTCACCAAAAGCCGACCCGGAAACGGAGCCGCTTTGGCCAACGGTTTCACCGTCCGGGTCAAACGGTTCAAATGTTTCAACTGATTTTTCATGCATGTCTCCATAACTCTCATCCTCGCCTTGGAATATTAGGGTTATGTCGTCTAATTAAAAAAAGATAATGAGAAAGAAAGAAGAAGGTAGAGGTGAAGGTGACTTGTAGCGGTTGATGGTGATGTGATGGTGATGGACATAGTATATCTCATATCTCTCTTATAAATCTCTTATCTATGTATATAAGATCTCCTTCATAAAGCTTTGAACCTAAGATCTCTCTTTCACATATCTCCCTACTCATATCTCTCTCTCTAATTTGAGATCTAATAGGTTTGAGATCGATTTCTTTTCTCTCTACTTTTTTTCCTTTTTTTTTGTTATTTTATTTTTTAAATTTTTAAATAATGTAATATTAAACCACGAACATTGTTCGAGTCAAATGGTTTAGTGGTCAGACCATCTAAGTCAATGGTTTGTTGGTCATATCAATAATTTTTGGTAACATAATGGTTCAACACTAAAACATAACCAGTACCTTGGCCGGTTTCTATGCTAAATGGTCAAACCATCCAAATCAACAATAGTTTTAAAACCATGCATATAAGTGAGTTGCAACAACTTCATGGTTGTAGGAATGGCAATAGGGCAGGTTTGGGGTGAGGACCATATTCCCATCCCAACCCGACTTTGAAACAAATCCCCATCCTTGATATCAATTATCATCGGGAAAAAAATTATCCTCCATCCCTGATCCCCAACCAAAACAAGTTTCTAGTCAATGATCCAAATCCTCAAAAATTTTAAATTATAATTTTTTTAGAAAATATATTTACTTAAAATATGGGAATTTTTTAACATATAAAAATATTTTAAATATATTTTAGGAAACTTTGCATATTAGTACCATGTACTTTGGGCCTACTCTCACTTTGGTCCCCGAACTTCAAAATGTGTCAATCCAGTACATAAACTTCCAAAACATGCTTATTTAGTAATTACCATTAGTAGACCATCAATTATCTCAATCATGTGATGAAATGTGCAACTTAAAACTTTTGAAAATATCAAAATTACCCTTCAGTACTGTTCATTGTATTATTTCTCAAGAATAATGGTTGAACTAAAGCAACATATTGGTTTTTGACAAATTGCTTTTCTCTATTGGCTTCTAAGATATTTGGGCATTTGGATGGTTGATAAAGAAATTTTAGGCGACACCTTAAGGTCATTTGTGTCATTTTCATATGCCACTCAACGATAGTTAATGGTTTTGGATTTAATTGGAGCATTTTGGAAAGTTTAGGTACTGATTTAGCACATTTTGAAGTTCAAGGACCAGAGTGATACTATGCCCAAATTACTAGGTACTAGTGTGCAATTAAATTGTTGAAACCTCCCCTAAACTTTCTAACACATTTGCAAGTAAACCCCCCTGTTAGAATCCTCTTAAGGAGTCAAAAAATGTCCAAAATACCCATGCAATTGAAAAAAAAACACAATATAACCTTTATAAACAACAAAATAATAGAGAATTTCAAGTTGCAACTTTACCTCTGAGAGATTAATATGAAGACAATTTTGAAAAAAAGAAATATATCAATTTTAGAAAAAGAGATTTGCAAGGTTTGGATTATTGATTCATTCGGAGAGAAAATTTGAAAAACAAACATTTTCATAAAAAAAAATAACTATATGGGTATTTTAGACATTTCCACACCTCTTYTTTTGGGAATCTAAGAAAAGGAGCCTACTTGCAACTATGTTAGAAATCTCGTGATAGGTAATTGAAACTACCAAACTTCAAAGGAGGTTTCAACAATTTACCTTAATATATAATAAAATGGTACAATATATTGTGGCCGCCCCATCAGAAGCCAGGGGCAATACAGTGGATGCTCCCTCCACTCATGCGCCACTAGCCAATGCCCGATCGGCYCGGGAAGGCCGACCCCTTAATCTCCAATAGCAGCAGCTAACGGGCCAACAAGCCCTTGTCAAATACCTCCTGGCTCCCAAGCTAGGTGATTCAGTGGGGGCCCACGATAATTGTAGGGACCACGACCGCCATCACTGCCGCGTAGAGAGCTTCCAAGACAACAACAGGTACTCTGGCCACTACAATCCCCCTCTGAGGGCTGGAGGCCGACACTACACCTCTCCCCCACCAGTGTTGGATCTTCGCAATCTTTTCAACGATCACCAAGCTCACAAGGCTCAGGATGTGCCAGCATTCGAGTACTCTAGAAATAGGGCCGACCTGTTCCACGTGAGAGAGAACTTGGATGAGGCCCATGCTCCCATCGACCGATGCCTAGGTGACCTTTAGGCACAGATAGGCGCCATCCAATATCAACTTCGATAGGTAAAGGAGGGTCGAGGTGATGCCTCCACTAGTTAGAACCCCTCATCCACTATGATGAACACCTTCACTGACTCCATCACCTCGGAGCCTCTCCCACTCTGGAGACTTACAATGGGAGCATAGATCCAATTAACCACTTGGAGAGATTCAGGGCACTCATGCTCCTCTTTGGTACTCCGACGCCCTGATGTGCGAGCCTTCCAAGCCACCTTTAAGGGAGCAATATGCAAATGGTTCTCCACACTCCTCCCTCGGTCCATCAACTCTTGGAACCAGTTTGCCGACCTCTTCTTCTCCCACTTCATTAGCAGCCAACGGTGTCAGAAGATCATCGTATCTCTCATGTCAATCAAGTAGAAGCGCGGAGAAAGCCTTCAGGCATACATTGATTCAAGCGGGAAGAGCTCGAAGTAAGAGACCTTGACCCCTCGGTGTCCATGCATGCAGCTATCAATGGCCTTCGACCCGGACCCCTCAAATGGTCCATCTCCAAGTAGGGGTGGCCACGAGTCGAGCTGCTCACGAGCTGTTCAAGCTCGGCCAGTGAAAAGCTCGGCTTGACTCAATCTAAACCAAGCTTCAAGCTGAACTCGACCTTAATATATAGCTTCATTTTCTAGTCGAGCCGAGCTCGAGCTTAATAACACTCAGGCTGTGAAGCTCGCGAGCCTATGTCACCTCGGCTACTAAGGGAGACTTCGGCTCAGCACCTCGCCTACTGAGGGAGACCTCGGCTCAACACCTCAACAACTAAGGGAGACCTCATCTCAGCACCTCATCTACTAGGAAAGCCTCAGTTTAACACTTCAATAGTTGAGGGAGACCTCAGCTTGGCACCTCAACAACTGAGGGAGACCTCGACTCGACACCTTGGCTACTAGGGAGACCTCAGCGTGGCACTTCAACAGCTAAGGGAGACATGCAATCAAATGTAGCCGAGCTGGAACTTCTGAGCTTTTGACTTGAGTTGAGCTCAAGCTCAAGTCTCTAATTAGAATCGAGCTTGAGCTCGAGCCTGATAGTTTATGAGTGAACCGARCTTGAATAGCTAGATATTGGGCTCGGTTCGACTCGAATCCACCCTTATCTCCAAGACCCTACCCAATAACAATGCAGAGTTCTTGAATAAGGCACAAAAGTACATCGTTGYCGAGGAGGCCAAGGCTAGCGAGTGCCTCCATGAGCCAGAGGTCAACCCTAGCCGAGGGGCCATGGCCACACCAACAAAGACAGCAAGAAGAACTCGTTAGCCCCTTCCTTCAACAAATATACACTTCTGAACTCCTCTCGAACACATATACTGATACAAGTAGGGAATGAGGAGTAAATGAAGTGGCTGGCCAAATTGAAAAAGAATCGCGAAAGAGGCAACCCCAAGAAGTACTACAAGTACCATTGTGACACCGACCATGATATCGAAGATTGTTACAAACTCCAGGATGAGATCAAGTCCCTTATTCGCCGCGGGCACCTAAAGGAGTATGTCAGAGGCGATGCCGACTCCTCGTACTCGCAACGACAATAGCAGAATGGGCCCCAGGCCCATCACCCCTTGGTTGGAGTTATTAATGTCATCGCTGGAGGATCAGCCTTGGGGCAGAGCGTCGGCCTCAGCYCGAAAGGCATATTCCCGGCAGTATCACATCCAGAGCCTGACACCTAAAAAATTGAGGTCAAAACACGCCCTCTCCTTAACCGATGACAACTTACAAGGGGTCTCACTGCCCCATGACAACGTCTTTGTGGTGTTTATCACCATTACCAATAACGTGGTGAGGAGAGTCCTTGTAGATAGCAGCTCCTCGGTCGATATCTTGTTCTACAACGCGTACGAGAAGATGCAGCTGGTGCCAGATCAACTGCAACCTGTAGACATGCCACTAGTAGGATTCTTTGGAACAGTCATTAAACCCGAGGGGAAGATAACCTTATCARCCATGATAGGGACCGCGCCTTGGCAAGTCACACGG